TAATCAAGATTTCTTTGTAGACATGTTTATTTAAAAGATTCAATTTGATCATAAATTTTGGTAAAATTAAACAAATTACAGTATTTCCAATAATGTGGTTCTGGAGAAATTAGTCAACCCATGTGCTCCTTATGATACAAACTACTGACAGTTGGAATATATACAATTAATAAAATCTCGTTCAATATAGCTCTTCAAGTGATCATCTTCAAAAGACAGGTAGCTCTTTAAAGGTTTATTAAAAGTGTCTTCAAGCTGGGCACAGTGGCACACACCTGTAATTTCAGCAACTTGGGAGGCTGAGACAGGAGGATCTCAAGTTCAAAGCCAGCCTCAGCAACAGCAAGGTGCTAAGCAACTCAGTGACACCTTATCTCTAATAAAATACAGAAAATTGGACTAGGGATGTGTCTCTGTGGTTGAGTGTCCCTGAGTTCAATCTCTGGTACCTGCCCCCAAAATAAAGTGTCTTCAAATATCATTGGTCTTACCTTTCTTCCCTAGAAAAAGACCCATTTACTGCCACTGAATATATATGTGTACGTTTTTATACACACACACACACATACACACACACACACACATACATACATATAAGAGATTTTAACATAAAACTGAAAATATACACATACGTGTGTGTGTGCGCGCGCGCGTGAGCAAATTCTGGTAGCTAGTAGAATAGTTCTTGAAATGCTTTAACCAAGGAATTTCCCTCAACAGACCACACTCTACCTTTGTGATTACTGGGAAACAGGATGGGATGGATGATTGAGATGACTATGAAATACCTAAATTTCCCTTTCTGTTGGCTCTGTTACCGGTTGAATTGTGTCCCCCCCAAAAGAATGAAGTCTTAGCCCACTGTATCTCAGAATATGATCTGAAAAAGGGTCTTTACAGATGTGATCAAGTTAACTTAAGGACATTAGAGTGGGCCTCAAGCCAGTATGACTGTGTCCTTATAAAAGGGTGGGTTTGGACATAGAAGTGGACACACACAGAGCAATGATGTGAAGGCAGAGGGAGAATGCTGAGTTCCAAGAACTGAGGAAACATCCTCCCTTGTAGGACTCAGAAGAAATCAATCCTGCCAACACCTTTATGTTGGACATTTAGACTTCAGAATTGTGAAATGATAAATTGCGGTATTTAGGCAATTCCGTTTGTGGTATTCTGGTATAGCAGCCTCAAGAATCTAATGCAGGCACCGACTCTAAAACTGTCTTGCCATGTTTCAAAGCCCCTGGGACTGTATTGAGAGGAAGTAAAACAGGTAGTTTCAGATTCCTCCAGTCCTTGGGTAAGTTAGGTATGCCACCATAACTTCTGGAAAAACATAAAAGATATCGGAGCTGAGGTTGGAGGAAACTGGAGACGGAGCTTGAATAGCTGAAAACTAGTGGAAAAGCAATCAGAAAACACAAAGTATATGAATGGAAGAAAAATTACTCCCTATGAAGACATCTGGCGGAAAAAGGAAGATTTCAGGCCACAAAGAAGACAGATCCTCCAACCCTACAAGATCATAAATGTTTTAAGAGGAGAAAAGCTACTAGCTAGAGTTAAAAATTAACCACAGAAAGAGATGTCTTCATCAAAGCCATTTAGTTTAATTTTATTAGCTATTATCAGAGACATATGCTTAAAATTGATATTTACCAACATCTACTCACAGATGTAAAATGTTCAGTAAATTCTCACTGAACATAGTGTCTCTCATAGTTGCTCACAGAACATCAACTTGGTCCAGACTCTCTACTGCTACCTGGTGGCAATATGCACATATTACAGGAGCAAACAATAATACAGGCTCTGACTACCCCCAGCACCAAAGTGTGTGACAAGCCATCCATGAGAAACAGGTCACTCAGGAAGGCGAGACTATATAGTGAGAAATCCATTTGAAAGAATAAAAGAGACAATATTCAAGGAAGGTCCAAACATGAAAATATAGCTTCTTAAAGAACAGAAACAAAAATTCATTTTTAATTGATGCAGTGAGCTGCTAAATATCTGAATCTGAGCAACATAACTACAAGACAATTGGTCCACTGATAACTACATAGTTTACATGTGAGAATGTAGTCATTTCCAATAGAACACTTACTTAAAAGTCCATGAAATAAGCCTACCACATGAACTGTATGAAGGTATATGTCCACACAGCTAAGTGCACCAGCTAGGCTTAATCAATATGGAGTTGGCAAGGGCTGGTCTTGGCTGCCTCATACTCTCAGCTTGTTACCCTTTTATAGATCAAGTACTCTTGGTCTACTGACATAGATTATAGGGCGACTGTCATCCACGTGCCCATATACACTATTACCCTCCCCATCGTGTATATGGGGACATGGATGTCAATTAAGGACAGCCATCCCTTAACTGTGGGATGAGCTAGGAAGAGATGAATGTGATTGGAAGCAAAGATTTTCTTGTCTTAGCAACAACACAGGTTGGACAACACTAAAATGTGTTCAAAAAAACAAAAAGCAACTGATGGAAAAGGATATTTCCTAGAAACACACATCATGTGGACAACTCCCAGGTCAGGGAAAAACAGCCTCACAGTCAGTCTTACTTCATCACAAGTGTCTCCAAGTTTGCCAAATTCCCTCCCACCCAGCCCACCAAGTCCATGAAAGAAAATGCCTGTGGGCACGAAAAGGGGGTTCTATTTATATATGAGTCAGTTGTGTGTGACGCCCTCTTTGGTAAATATATTTTTAAAGCCACTTTTTCAGTCTGGAGAGCTCAAACACTTTTCAGAAGTTGAAGCTTAAGTCCAGAGCTGTTTATTAAGTCTGAGAAAGCCAGAAATCAGAGACAGGAATATAGAGGATCGAGTAGTAATTCAGACAATATGGATAGCACATGATTAAAATGTGTACTATTAAGAGATGAATATGTAAGTTGGGTAAGAAGGTGTATAATAATTGAAATTATTTTAAGAGTTAGATATTATAAGTGACACTAAGACCATTTCCCCAAGGCATTTATGCCCTCTGAAATAATTGCTATTATTTTCTTATAGGGTATGTTCTTCCAAATATTAAAAGAGGTATGCACACCATACATATGTACATGGGTTCACAACCTGTAGAAATACATAGTTGATGTGTATCATGTTTTCATACATGGCATCAATAAAAGACACCATCAAGCCCTATCTAAGCCAATGCTATAACCAGTATCTTGAAATACTCATCTTTTTGGCATTTCCTCCATCCTATCATCATATAAATGTCTCCTACTCAATCGGAAACCTTCATGTTGACTTAAGAATACAGAGTCTCTGAGTAGCAATTAAAAGAAAAAGAGGAAAAAAAAGTGTTTACTACTTAAGAATCAAACAGAAAAAAACTAAAAAAAGCAAAACAAGTAAAGAATTTATGCTATAAGATGAACCAGAGAGAATAAGAGGATATAATTATGGTTCTCCCTCCTAAATCTTTTACAATATGACTGTCAATGAAAAATATTGGGTTGGTGCTTTATGAATCTGACATGGAAGTGACAAACTTAAATGTCTATGGAAGCCAGGCAGATATATAAATGCTGGAAGCAGGATAAATGGCCACCAACACTGTAATGTTAGGAGGCAAAACAGGGATTGGTGTGGACCATGGCAAACAAAACCCAACTAGGAGGCAGCTGCTTCTTAGCTGCAGCCAACAATTGCTATGATAAAATGCAAGGTCTTCCCATTTTTAAAGAGAAACAGGAAAAAAAAATCCTGATATTTTTACATAAGAATCTCTTGATTTTTCAGTGTTGACCATTTAAAATCCAAACTTTCAAAACCAACAAAAATAGCACCACTGTGCAGGCTGACACTTGGCAGGTCACACTGCGGGCTGGCTTGGATCTCAGAAATCTGGATCAGTTGGAAGCTTTCATTTACTTCCCCATCTCGTGCTCTGTCAAATAGAACTGATGCCTCCATGGAACATTCTTTGACAAATTAGTAAGTGGAACGCAGACAGTGCTTTTGCAGGCAATGGGCTTCTTTAAAGGTTTCACTGGCAATTAGAACAATTTTCTCTCTCCCATTTACATTTTGGAATGAGTTTTCTGAAAAGGAAGAGGGCAAAACTACCCACTGAACTCTCATTTTCTTTTCGTGTCTTTGGCATTTTCAGATTCATCAGAAGTGTATCCTACTGTGTGTCCTTGGAAAGAGGTTGGTCACTACACTTCCTGTCCTCTGAAGGAAGATGTCCCAGCTTTCCCAGAGAGGGGCACAGGCTGATGGTTCCAGGAAAGAGCTCTTCTGAGGACACCTTATGACAGGCACTCATCAGGGAGGAAGCCCTGATCAGAGTCAGCCACTGAGAGACTGCAAACTCTCAGGGGTGAGAGTGGAAGAGAACAGGATGGGGATGAGACTCTTTTCCCTCTGTCCTCTGGTCCTTTCTGCAGGGATGGTGGGTCCAACCCTCATCTATTTCCACCAAAAAACATCCTGAGATTTAAAACTGAGCTCGGCCACTGGAGTTTATAAATGCAATATCAATCCTTTCCTTTATAAAAATGAAATCTGTAGTTTCTGAGCTCTCAGGGCTAAGGAACAAATACTTGAGAGCAGATACTTGAGGATGAAAAAAATTTAGGAATGGATTGTTAAGACGTAAATATTGATGATATGTGCTCCATATGACCACTTGCTGAACAAACTGTTTGGGGTTTTTGTTGTTGTTGTTGTTTAATTATTATTGTTTTTGAAGGTTTTTTTTTTTCCAGTACTGGGGATTAAACCCATGGTCATGCACATGCAAGGTAAGTGCTCTACCATTGACCTATGTCTCCAGCCCTTTTTGGTTTTTTTTTGATATTTATTTAAAAGTTGCCCAGGCTGGCCTCGAACATGAGATCCTCCTGCCTCAGTCTCCTTGAATACCTGGAATAACAGGTGGGCACCACCAGCTCCAAACTTACTGTTTTTAAAAATCAAGAAGTTCTGGGCTTCATGTGCATGAAGTTTCTGAAGCAGACTGTCTTACCTTGAAGATGAAATCAGCCATCAGAGGTCCTGGAATCTTAAAGGTTTGCCTCTCTGAACCCTTCTGAAATTCAACTGTTGTGTTTTCTACAACAAAAACTCCAGGGCTGTTAAAGCTGTGTTCTCCTTTGCTTCCTTGAAGCGTTTTGGATTCAATAACTAAAATTAAAAAAATAAAATTTAAGTAAGAGAAATCTCCTAAAAGCAAGTCAGTCCAAATGACATTTCACCAAGTGTAATATCGGCATATGACATCAACACGATATCAAAAGATCCACATTCATGGAATAGATAAGTCAAATTTTTGGTTGTCCTTAAAAAGGCACTAACAGGGGTAGCAATTCTACTCAATTCTTTGGAGACATATCTGCTACAAAAGAGAACACTTTTCTTTTTTCATATTTTTTTTTCATGAGGTAGCTCAAAATACAGGGCGAGTAAAGTCATGTTTACTCACTTATTACCTATTCAGATGTTAAACATAGCTTTATATTTAGAAAAAAAGCACAGTGAATCTCAAATTTGCCTTTTTTAAAAGAAAAAAAACTTTTTATTTTGAAATAATCAGATTCACAGGAAATTACAAAATTAATATAGAGAGGTCCTCATTGGTTATACCTTATGAAACTATAGAACAATAGCAAACCCAGGAAATTGACGTTAGGTACAATGTGTGCATACAGTTTGATGCCATGTCTGAGAAGGGGTCTTGCTAAGTCACCCTGGCTGGCTTAGGACCTGTGTTCTAAGGGCTGAGAGTGGCACAGGACCACAATCGAAACACATAACCATCCCACTGCCACAAAGATCTCCCTGGAGCATGTTACTCTCTTACTCTAATTTGCTTTTATAAGATCAGAAGTGTTTTTAAGAACTACAGGAAAATGTCTGCCTGCAGTTTGAACAAAATAGTATTTCCATTTTATTTAAATAATTTCTGTTTTTCCCTCTCCTCTCCTCCTTTTCTTCTGTCTCGTTAAGTGTTACCATACCCAGCAGACGTGGTCCAAGGTTGGGAGAAGCAATAAAGACAGACACAGCTGGGTTCTGGTCTCAGCTCTTTCTCTGACACCCTGTAGTAGGTTTTCATTGCTAAAACAAGGAATCAGAGTGCCTGATCTCCCGTGTCCAACTCTCCTCGGAAACCTCCACTTGCTGCAGTGGTATTACAGTTGTCTCTAGCCATCTTGAACAAAGGACACAACAGAATCAAAACTCCATTCAGCTTCAACCTTAAAAATGGAAAGCTGATAAAACACGACAAAATGGCCCAGTATCAGGGAGCTTCAATCCACATGCTGCTGGGCTTTGGCTGTTTTCATTTGCTAGATTTTTCTCTCTGCCAAAGATCAGCTGCAGGAATCCAAGTGTGCTGGACAGACTACATCCCAGGCATTAGGAGACATCCCTGATTATCCCTGACAGGCAGGCTGGGAACTTTTCTGGGAAAATTCAAAGGCTGGACAGGAGCTCCTTGATCTGGAAGAGTCATTAGAGGTCGAAGAATAACCCTGGCTCCTTTCAGGCACACAAACCCCAACCACTTTGGCCCCAGTCTCCATGACCACAGTAGATTTTTGGAAAGTGTGAGATTAAATTCATTTCCTAGTTCCAATGAAGATATAAAACTGAGTGTTACAAAGTGAGTTGTCAGTAAATACGAGATGGAGAACTAGAGATAGTAAGCCCCACACTGGATGAGTTAAGTCTCTAAAGTAAAGGAGAAGAGAAAACGATGAGTATTGAGGCAATACAGAAACGCTAAGTGAGACTGGACACCATCCATCTCATCGAAGGCATGTGAGACACCAAGTTTCTAGCCTGAGATTTAGCTTGAAATGACTTGATTAAATTCAAGTACTATGCAATGGATTCTGCGGCTGTGCTGGGGGAGTAATTGCTTTACCACTGGGCTCACTTTTTGGAGCGCAAGTTTCATCATGATGCAGCATTGGAGCAGGGGTGTAAGGAAGGTAATCCTGAAGGGAGGAAGGCCAGGTGCTATGACATCCAGCCCCTAAACCACATGCCAACATTTCTCTTTGTTCAGTTTTGGTGTTTTGTTTTAAAGGTGGAGTCTATTTCGTTATTTCAACCATGTTTAAGATATTCAGCGACAAAGATGAACATACAAGGAGCAAAGCCAATGTCCAAGTTTGTGTAAATCACTCAAGCCACTCTCTAATGAAATGTGTGTTAGTTGTAGAATATCTATTTCTAGGAGGCAGAAAACAAATGATTTGATCTCACTAGTGTAAATGAGTAGCTGAATCAAAAGTAGATAACTAATGACTGGTGGAGTGATCTGAGGAAGGTGGAGTTCATATGCATAAACAATCTGATCATTTAGATTGACAGAGCCCCTGTATCCAATCCACAGTGAGATGGAGCCCAACACAGTTCTTCAAAATTCATCATTTTCATTGGTGACAAATTTGTCCTTCCTAGTGACTGTACCTCTTAAAATAAATAAAAGGGATTTGTAATTTTTCAATCAATAATTCAAACACTGTGTTGACTTACAGATGCCTTTACTTAGTTTTTATTCATTTCTGTTATTTATGCATATTTACTGCAGCTGTGTGTTTTGACAGCATGTGACTCATGGCTGATGAGAACTGTACAAGTGAACCTTCAGTTCCCAGAGCTTGTGCTGACCATTGGTGGCTACTTCAGCCGGTGGTTAGGGCTTGGGAGACCCAGGAAGCCCACTTTCACTGTCTTCCTGCTCCACTGTAAGGGAAGAGATTACCATCCTTCTTTCCTGCTGCCGGCTGCCCACCTGATTTCTCCTGTGTAGACTTAATGGTGGGTGGAGGGCAGAGGTGTTGAGGAAAGTATAAGTAGCCTCAAACAGGTGAAAAACAATAAGAAATCAAGGCCTTCTACCCACATATCTTCACAGTACAAGTCTATAATGATACCTTTAAATAATTTGAATTCATTCTTGTTCATTTTTTAAAAAATGACAAAAAAGGTAATGAATGCTTCTAATGTTTTCCAGTTGAAGGGCCTCATTGAGAAGAATCAGTCCAAGCTTCTTTCAACAGAGGCAGAGACAAGCAACCAACACCAAGAGGTCTGTTTAAATTCTAAAGACCACAAAACTGGTATTAGGTAAACACATACTGCGGACTTAGCTAATGTAGCTATATCAAGTTCAGGACGACAGTAGAACAGTATTGTTATAGTGTATATGGCCATTACATATAGTGTCCATATTTGTATTTTTACATCTCTATCTATACATTAAACAGGACTTGAAGGGAAAAATACTCCTCCAATAGATAATTGAGGTTTTCATTTCATGACATCTTGGCTTTTCAAGCTTATTGCTAGTCAGACACATTAGTGCTAATAATAATAATTTTGCAGGGATCCTATTATTGCTTCCATTTTTTAAGGGATGCATTACTAGAAAATTTGGGGCTAAGTGCTCCCTATAATAATGTGTCCAGGCTTGGAACAGCACTAGAAATTCAGGATCTGAACACCTCTAAGCAGGATGGAAGTCAGATGTTCTATAATTAAATTCCATTTCACAACAAAGAGACTGAAATTCACGTCATAGGTGTTTTTAGTTCTGAATAATGCAGTCTTCTGAAGGATTATAGTTAATACAGATCTTGAAAGAATGATTCATTACAGAAAAATAAGCTTGATTTCAGAAATACATCTTTATTACAAGGAAAAATGCAAAAAAATGGTTACATAAATCAAGAAAATAAAACCCATTCTGTATATAAATGTTCAGAAATCTAAACTAAATCCTTTGTAAATGAAGCCAGTAGAGAAGCATAACTTTCAGAAACACTTCTAGGGCCAATTGAGAGATTGTTCAGGAGGGGAAATATTCCAAGCAACAGATCTGTCACTTTGAAAAAAATGGGAACATTGCTGAACTCTGTTCTTGGAAGAGTGCCCATCCCGAGTATAAAGTTATATTTAATATGCCAGTACATATTTATGCAAATGAATTTTTGCTTCAAAGTATTCACCTTAATTTATTCTGTTTACTGTTTGCTTATTCTGTTTTTACAACTTAAAAAACGATTTTTGAAGCTGAATTTTTTGGGGTTGCCTTTAGAATCATAAGAATATTAGGTCTAATCACTGCACTTTAGAATGTTTTTTAAAACATTTTTTGATATATAGTACCCATGCCATGAAACTCAGTTACTTATTTATGCAGTGCTGAGTATTGAACTCAGGGTCTCACACAGGCTAGGAAAATGCTGTACTACTGAGCTACAGCCTCATCCCCAAATTCACCCATTTAGAATGTATAAATTATACATTTACACACAGCATAAGCACAGTGAAGACATCATTGTGGTCTAATTTTATAACATTTTTGTTATCCCCCAAAAGAAACCAAATACTTAACTAGACCATCATCCCTGTACTTTTCTTCTCTGATATTTGTCCATTCTAGATATTTCAGATAAATGGAATCTATGATATGTCACTTTTTTTAACTAGGTTCTTTCTCTTAAGCATAATGACCATGCATGGTGGTCCAGGCCTGTAATCCCTCTGAGTTGACAACTCTGAGGCTGAGGCAAGAAGATCACAAGTTCAAGACTAGCCTGGGCAATTTATCGAAGCCCTGTTTCAAAGTGAAAAATAAAAAGGACTGGAGATGTAGCTCAATGGTAAAGGGACCCTGGGTCCATCCCCAGTAGCAAATAAATAAATAAATACAAAATGCAGTGGCACTTAAGGCTAATGTTTTCAAGAATTATTAGTATTGTACTATATATCAGCATTTCATCCCTTTTTAAGCCAAATTATATTACACATTTATCCATTCAACAGTTGATGAACATTTGAGTTGTTACCACTTGATAGATACTATAAATAATAAATTTTCAGCCCTTTATACTTTTGAATCCAAATGATATTTCACAATGTTCTTCATCAAAAATTTGAATCTAAATGAATCTAAATGATTTTTACCTGTTTCCAAAAATCAAGCTTGCATTTACAAGGAAGAAGTTATTCCCATTAAGAGCTGTGTGTTTTCAAACCATTTTTGTGTAAAACTGGAGACATGAAAAATTGTGCTCTACATGTGTACTATGAATTGAAATGCATTCTGCTGTCAGATATAACAAATTCAAATAAATAAATAAATTTTTAGAAAAGGAAATTTTAAAAATGTTTTGATGTTTCATTCTAGAGAAAGCCTTGAATGAAGTGACCATGACATGATTATAAACAGTTTAATGATTTTGTTTAAAAAAATAATTCACATAAAGTTAAGAGTAAACAAGCTCTTTTAAATAATTTTTCGCTTTCACTGTCACCAAGATAGTCTCTTTCTTCTTTTATTTAGAGCAAAATGTACTAAATAATTTTTCCTTTAAGATTGTAGTCTGATAGTGACCCAAAACATTTTTAATTATTTAAACATTTTATTATACACTTTTCTCAGAGGACTTTTGGGCCTGAAATAGTAGTTCTGGATCCTCTACACATGCATGCATGCCACACTACCAAAAACGTTTGATGCTTCTGGCTCTAAGAGAATCTTATGATTTAAAAACTTAAGATGGTGACCCAGGGGATAAAAAGGCAGATATATAGTACTTGGGTTCTGTGGATCTTGATTGTGTGACTTTGTGGCTTGATAGTAGTTATAATAGTATATATTTTGTACTTTCTATGGGCAAACACTAGACCCAATAAGATGCTGCACGGCCAGAGGCCAGTCTAGTAGAGACCTACCTTCTTTTGAATATAATTAAGAAATCCTGCTTGAGGCTAAAAGGATACCTTGGGAAAGCAGGAAATAACCTCTGGCATTTCCACTTCCTTCAAGTTTTGAGAGATCAGAAAAAATTGAGACAGAGGAAATGCCATCTGACCTTGGCCATAGAAACAATATTCTTGCAGCCCTCTACTGATGAAACTCCCCATATTCTGGGAAGCCTGTGTCCACTTTCAGAGTCCACTTGTCCAGAAGTTGCCATGCACTGGTAGAAAAGTCTCTCCTTCCTGGGCAGCCAAAGTCATTGATGACATTCTGAATTTTAAACTTTGTTTTGTTTTAACTTTGTGTCCCAAACTGTTGACATCTCCAGAAGACTCCTGAATTCATATTTATTCTCCATGTAAGAATAGTTCATTTCACCTATAATTTAATTTCCTCTCCCATGGGAGTATTAATCCCAAACTGTTATTTTTTTTCCACTGGGTATAAGAACAGAAAATTAGCGTAGATTATTTCCCTAGTGATACGGACTATTTCAAAATAGAAAAAAAATCCCTACCTACCATGAATATTCTGTGTTTTTGTTTATGTTTGTGTTTTGCTAAATAGACTCTCAGGGAATTTTTAAAAATGTTTAGATTAAATTTTACTTACAGAGATGAGCAGGTCCTTTGACTGTAATTCTCACACTTCTACTTCCCAAAGGAACAGCAATCACATTTTCTTCTCCTAGAAAACAATTTAAGACAAATATAGTAAAACTAAAAAGAACCATGAAAACAAGGAAATCAATCAAAACTGGGTGCATGTTTGCTATTACATATTCTGATAATTTAATTTTTCCCATCTAATAATCTATGTTCATATGTGAAATTTGATCCCATTAGTCTGTAACTGAGACAGAGCAGGGAGGGTACTAATTATCCCACCAAGATCCAGCCTAATGCAAGCTGCTTTTTAAGAATTGTTTCCACCAATGTCCAGGTTCAGGAGCTGGTGGTGACTTTGCCCCCAAACTTTCTCACAACCTCTGCACAGTCAATAGGCTAATCCTGACTCATATATGCCCTTTGGGTCTTGGCGATAATGCATGCCTTTGTTATCTTTTGATGTCAGAGTACAGAGGCACAACTCATGTGAGCAGATTCCCTGTCAAGTGCAAACTCCAGTGCCAAAGCAAAGATATGATATGTGCAGAAATACCAAGATCCTGTGCAAGCAGCTAGTGCAGCATGAGCCCACCCTTTTTGTCTGCATAAGCTTTGCTCTTCACATCCTGAGATGGCCAGTCCAGGCCCCTGCCCCTGCATAGTCTTCCTGGTGCTTGAGCACAAAAATGCAACAAAGCTGCTTTCAGATGGTTCTTGTCTCTCCATGATTTCTACCTTGAATTGAGCAAAAGAACCCTCCAATTAACTGGTAAACTTGATAGCTGGTAACAGCAAAAAGAGATATACTTTGTATTTATAATTTTTGTCCCAAATGGGCAAAATAATTCCACACTGATTGGTAATACTATCATTGATATGAATTGCTTTCAGTAGATACTTTTTTATCCTTAACTTACGGAAAATGATTTTTTAAATAAACTCTTCAGAGTGAAACTGATGAACAAAACCCCTTATCTCAGGCTGGGATTGTGGCTCAGTGGCAGAGCACTTGCCTTGCAAATATGAGGCACTGGGTTCGATTCTCAGCACCACGTGAAAATAAATAAATAAAATAAAGGTATTGTGTTCATCTACAACTAAAAAAAGATTAAACAAAACCCTACCTCTCACCATGCACAAAACTCAACTCAAAGTGGATCAAGTACCTAGAAATTAAACCAGAGACCTTGTGCCTAATAGAAGAAAAAGGAGGCCCAAATCTCCATTATGTTGGATTAGGCCCCAACTTCCTTAATAAGACTCCTATAGTGCAAGAATTAAAATCAAGAATCATGGCTGGGGCTGTAGCTCACGGGTAGAGCGTCCGCCTCACACGTGTGAGGCACTGGGTTCGATCCTCAGCACCACATACAAATAAATAAAGATATTGTATCCAACTACAACTAAAATTTTTTTTTGAAAAAAGGAATCAATAAATGGGATGGATTCAAACTAAAAAGCTTCTTCTCAGCAAAAGAAACAATCTGTGAGATGAATAAAGAGCCTACATCTTGGGAGCAAAATTTTGCCCCTTACACATCAGATAGAGAACTCATATCTAGGGTATCTAAAGAATTCAAAAAGCTTAACACCAAAAAAATGAATAACCTAATCAATAAATGGGCCAAGACACTGAACAGACACTTCTTAGAAGATGATATACAATTAATCAACAAATATAGGAACAAATATAGTACAAATATAGGAACAAATATAGTACAAATATAGGAACAAATATAGTACAAATATAGGAACAAATATAGTACAAATATAGGAACAAATGTTCAACATTAGCAATTAGACAAATGCAAATCAAAACTACTCTAAAATTTGATCTCACTCCAGTCAGAATGGCAGCTATTAAGAATACAAACAACAATAACGAGAGAGAGAGAGAGAAAGAGAGACAGAGAGAGAGAGAGAGAGAGAGAGACAGAGAGACAGAGAGACAGAGAGACAGAGAGACAGAGAGACAGAGAGAGAAGTTAAAAAAAGAAAGAAAAAGAATACAAACAACAAGTGTTGGTGAGAATGTGGGGAGAAAAGCACATTTATACATTGTTGGTGGGACTGCAAATTTGTAAATTGGTACAGCCAATATGGAAAGCAGTATGGAGATTTCTTGGAAAACTGGGAATGGAACCATCATTTAACCCAGCTATTCCACTCCTCAGTTTATACACAAAGGACTTAAAAACAGCATACTACAGGGACACAGCCACATCAATATTTACCGCAGCACAATTCACAATAGCTAAATTGTGGACCAACATAGATGCGTTTCAGTAGATGAATGAATAAAGAAAATGTGGTATGTATACACAATGGAATATTACTCAGCAATAAAAGAGAATAAAATCATGGCATTTGCAGGTAAGTGGATGGAGTTGGAAATATTATGCTAAGTGAAGTTAGCCAATCCCAAAAAACCAAATGCTGCATGTTTTCTCTGATATGAGGATGCTGATCCATAATGGGAATGGTTGGGGGGGAGCATGAGAGGAATGGAAGAACTTTAGATAGGGCAAAGGGGAGGGAGTAGAAGGGAAGGGGCATGAGGGTAGAGAAGATGGTGAAATGAGATGTATGTTATTTCCCTAAGGAAATTTATTAAGACATGAATGGTGTGATTCTTCTTTGTGTACAACCAGATACATGAAAAATTGTTCTCTATATGTGTAATATGAATTGAAATGCATTCTGCTGTCATATCTAACAAATTAGAATAAATTTTTAAAGTCAATATATTTATTTATTAGTTTATAAGTTTTTATTAAATAAAATACCTGTTTATTATTGAGAAATCAAACAATGCAGATAAACAAATAGACAAAGTAAAACTCTTTCTAGTCCAAATGCCCAGAGACCATCACTTCTATCACTTTGATGAATATCCCTCACAAATTTTTCATTGTTTGTTTGTAATATATATGCACATAAAAGGAAAGAATGAGCTTTATTTAAATGCTCATCAATATGAGAAAGGCTAAATAATCAAGAGCTATGCTATAGAATACTCTGAAACTGATATGTAATGAAATGAAGCTATATGATTTACTTTGAAAAGATTTTATATGTATATGTGTAAGCACACACACTATTTTAAATTTTTTTAAATTTTTTAGTTGTCAATGGAACTTTTATTTATTTACTTATTTACTTACTTACTTACTTATATGCAGTGCTGAGGATCAAACCCAGGGCCTCACACATGCCAGGCAAGCACTCTACCACTGAGCCACAACCCCAGCCCCCATACATACAGATTGATGAGTTTATTTTTTTTTAAGTTTTCACTTTTTTAAGATAGAGAGAAGAGAGAGATAATTTTAATATTTATTTTTTAGTTTTCGGCGGATACATCTTTGTTTGTATGTGGTGCTGAGGATCAAACCCGGGCGGCACACATGCCAGGTGAGCTCGATACTGCTTGAGCCACATCCCCAGCCCCTATATTGATGAGTTTAAAGGGCAAGTTAAAAACAATGTACATGGGCAATTATTTCTTGAATATACCACCAGAAACACAGGAAGCAAAGGTAAAAAAGGATTGGACTACATCCAAATTAAACTTTTAGGCCAATATCAACAGAGTAAAAAGGCATCCCACAGAAAGGGAGAAAACATCTGCAAATAACAAATTGGACAAAGGGTTAATATCTAAAGAACTCTAACAACTCAACCACAAACAACATTTTTAAAAAATGGGCAAAAGACTTGGAAAGACATTTCTCTGGCAGATATACAAATGACTAATAAGCATATAAAAATGTCCAATAAACAAAAAGACAAATAAAATTATTCAAATACTAATGCCTAGAGATAATTAGTGAATTTCTAGGTTAATGCAGATCATAAACACAATGAGATACCATTTCACACCTATGAGAATAGCCATTTTATTTAAAAATAAAAAGTGAGGTTATGGAGAAACTGGAACCCTCATGAACTGCTGATAGGAATGTAAAACCGGTGTAAGCCCTTTGCAAGACAGTACAGCAGCTCCTCAAAATGTTAAACATGGAACTGCCAAATGATCCAGCAATTCCATTTCTGGGCATATACCCCAAAGAATGGAAAGCAGCAACTCAGATATTTGTATACTTGTGCTCATAGCAGCATTACCCGCAATAGTCAACAGGTGGAAGCAATGAGTATCTATCCATAGATGAATGGATAAATATCACAGTAAGTACCTACAACTGAATGTTTTTCAGCCTTGTTACAACATGGATTAACCATGAAGACATTGGGCTAAGTGAAATAGGCCAGTCACAAAATGATAAATACCGTATGAGTCCACTCATATGAGGTACCTAGAAGAGTCAAGTTCACAGATACAAAGTAGAATGGTGGTTACCATTCAGAGGAAAGAGTAACAAGGTGTTATTGTTTAGTGGGTGCAGAGATTCTGGTTTTCAAGATGAAAAAGTTCTGAAGATGAAAGGTGGTGATGTGAATAGGCTTCATGCCCTAACAGTATGAATAGGCTTCATGCCACTGGACTATAGATTTAAAAATGGTTAAAGTGGTAAGTTTTATGTTTTTTATACACACACACACACACACAAAACACACACACACATATATATATATACATATATTTCACAATTTAAACAATGCATATGGTATAATCTCATTGTAGAAGTATATGTGTTTAAGTGCCACCTTTTTATACACATACATAAAATTTATAGCAATACATACTATATTATTTACTACAATATATTGCATTATATTGTGTGTAAATGCGTGGGTAAGACTGTACCCACATAATAGTGAATAAATATAGAGTACTATGTAATTTGTATATTAGTAAACAATAGAGAGGGATTTTAATTCTTTAATCCTTTAAGTATAACAGAGGGTTTTAACCAAAGTATTGACAAAGATTACCTCTGGGGAAGGGAGTTAGAGTTGAGGAGTAAGTGGGACGACCACAGGTTTTATATTTTTTGAGATTTCTATAACAAAGATATACTTTTACTTAATATATAATGTAAAATATAAGTCTATTTAAATTTGAAATTTAAATGTTTTAGGAAGCTAAAAGCATTTTAAAAAAGAAAATAAGACTTC